GACAGAACAATAATCACGGCCATAGGGCATGCTGTTGAGTGAAGGGGCGATGAGTGTGTGGGCCTTGGACTTAATAACCTCATAGATAAAATCCATGTTTATTTTCTAAACAGAGCACCAACCTTCTCCAAGAGCCGTTTACTGTGGCCTCGGAAATGAATTAGTCCTCTTTTCATGGCTCCCATTCATTCAGTTTTCATTGTTATAGAAAAAGAGGACAGCAGATGGTGACCTTGGATGCACAGACTGAAAAGAATTAGAAAAAATATTCATACTTAGAGAGACCGAACATTAGCTTAGGCATCTGGCAGTACCTCTTGCAGACATGGCTTTTGTCCACATCACTACTGGGATGTGCAATTCCTGTAAAGTCAATGAAGGGTCATATTTGATCATTTGGTCTCGGCCTGTTAACACCACACAAAGGCCTGGGCAGGTGTTTCAGTTTAATATGACCCAGAAAAAGCAATAATGTGTCTCTGGCGCTGATGGCCAGCTGAGAGGCAACTGAAACAGGGCTGATAATAAAGTATATTTGTAACTTCCACTTAATTGATCACAAGCGAGCAGCAAAAGTAAATGTGGCGAAAGCCACTCAATGCCAAGTCATTTATTTTGTCCTGTCAGAATTTACTCTTCACTGACTCGCCAAGGTAAGATATAATCAGTAAAATATGTGACATGTGTTCAGCCTGTGCTTTTCTTTCCATCTTTGGTGAATCTTCAATTTTCCCAGTAACTATGAAAGAGAGAAAACACGCTCTAACTGGTGCTGCAGCAGCTCAAGAAACAGTCGCCTCCTTAGTTCAAGTCAAACACAAGAAATGGCCATGTGTACATGCTTTTTTACTTTGAGTGATCAGAATACAGTGATAGTTCAATTCAGTCATTTAGACTATTGAATTTCCTCTGAGTAATCAAAGTTCATGTTTCTATCTTGGAGCTTGGATAGCTTACCCCGATGGCTGTGCAGTAACAAGATTCAAATGTTCTCACAGCGAAACTCTCTCCGTGGTTCAAGTTCCGTGGGTTTACACAACACCTTAATGCATGGATATTCACCGTAATCATATTCAAACAGCACATATCCTTTCAAATCATAATCAGGGAAAAGCATCAACTTCTGCCACCATCTTGTCACTGTGACAAACACACGTAGACTTCTCCTGGGGTAATTTGGACACATTTTTAAGACTGAATTAAATCACACTCAAGTATCTATATAGTTTTGGAAACAGGAAGATGGAAGTGAATTGGTTACAATAAAGATAAAACCACCTCCAGCCTTTACTCATCATGCCCTGATTTAGCATGGAAAGGAGCAGTACTCTAACATGAAAGAGGGATATGATGGAGATAAAAGATGAAATAAGCAAATGAAAGATAAACAGAAGGACAAAATAAATTGCTGTAATTAATGTTATAAACTGAATGTTGTTAAAGGAGAAAAATGAAATGGGTTTTGCTTTTTTAACTAACTGATTGGAGGCTAGAGGAAAAGTATAAATCCTGACAAACTGATGTATTTTCACTGGAATTTTGCAGATGTGGCAGGTTTACAAGAGGTTGGCACCATTACTATAAAGGTAATACAAATTACTGAATGTCCCCAAGTAGTATTAATCCCATACAAATCTATACATGACATTTGCACTTTAATCAGTGGCTTAATTGGGGCAAATTAGATAATTAGTATGTATACCCACCATTCACAAAGCTAAATTAAGCTCCGAGTGTGTGTGTACCCCAATGGATGATTCTAATTACATCTTCCACTGTTACCCCTGCACAAAGCAAATCACTAGCTTGCAGCATCTAAAATTCTAAAACTCAACCACTGTAGCTTCTTGGCATGATGAGGGTCAAGGCCTCTGGGTTCCTCCATTATACTGTCACATTAGAGTTTTATTCATGTAACGTATTGACCATTTGCCTTTAACTGATTAGAGCCAATACTCTAAACTTTGAATTAAGATCATGAAATCATGCCCAATTCCTGCAGGTGCGGGGCTGAAAGCGGCTTGCTGGTGGCCAGATATCACTCTCTCCTGTGGAGAATTCACTTCCATTCTCACTGTCGGATTGTACTCAGGACGCTGATTTGCAATGACAGATGAGACGATGCCTGGAAGAGCAGTCGCAAACAGCTTATCAGGAGTTTCTCATTGAAGTACTGGCTGTCAGCTCAAGCAGACCAGTGGCAGATATAGCTCCTAAGCCCAGAATCGATGTCCCTGTCCATAAAATACTGCCTATGTGTCCTGATGTGTCCCTCAGCTACCAAACTTCTGTCGAGTTCTGATTATGCCTTAAGTCTGTGCCAAGGTTGTATTACTTTATGTTAAAAAATATATATTTTAATAATTTAATTGTGGGAAGGTTTCACACCCCTTCCACTTAAGCGCCTATTATTTGTACATCATTACCAGGAGGAAAATAATTCCCTCACTACCAAATGGTAATAACTTAATCACATGTGAAAAGCACAGTGACTGCTGTTATTGTAAGCAATGTTTCATATAGTCGGTGTGCAACCCTTAATGGGGAACAGCAGGTAACGATTTTCAGCATCAAGTCGGAGAGGAAAGTCTAGCACTGACACAACACACAGAGAAGACACGAATGGCAAGTTGAAGTGGATACTCAACATGCGGAGAATTTGTGACAGAATTAATTTTCCAGGCTTTTCAATCAATTTCCTTCATGGATCTTCCCCCCCCCCATCCCCGCAAAGAGCTCTGTTGACAGTAATAGCTACACGAGCCTAATGACAATCAGAGGATAGCTCTTGTGGCTTTGTGTATTGACACAAGAAGACGAGGCAATACCTCATCACTTGTGAAGTTGGTAAAATGTCGGTGGTGAGCAGAGGAAAGTTGGAAACACTGCTGCAAGAGACATCAGATTCCATATGGTGTGTATATACTTGCTATGACCTCTGTGATGAGCACAGCAGATGTTATCCTTCCCTTTTGTTTTGGTGGTTAAACTTATTGGATCAAATGTTGTGTTCAAGTGTGACAATTTCAATTAAATAAAAGGAGCAATATTAAAAAAAGACAGCGCTCAAGGTACATGTCACTCAGCAAAAGTTAATCAAACGAAGAACAAAAAGCCTTCGCACTCTGAAATGTTTCATTTGTCTTTCAGAGTGCGAAGGCTTTTTGTTATTTTTAATTAAATAAAGAGCTCACTGACTTCGGTGTACAAATCCTTTTGTGTTTGTATTTTTACTTTGGTTATAAGCATTCCAACTTCCCCTTTTTTGTTTTTGGTTGAGCACACTCTTCTTTAGAGACAATCTGACACCCAGTTTCACATTACACAGTAATTGCCAGGTGTGCAGAGCTCTGAAAGTAGGCAGGGTTTGAGCACTCTCTTAAGCTGTCTTTTTACATTCTTGATACAAATACTACTGTCAGTTTTCATGTGTACATCCAAGTGCACTACCTTGAAAGTGTGCATCATTTACACAACTCACCACATCTTCCCCCTCTCTCTCTATGACAGCAGGCTTTTCACCACGCCTGAGTGTGGCTATTTGGAACAGCTATAAACACTTCTGCTGTGAAGATGATGTGGCTGGACAACGCATTGTACAGCCTGACCTCACCTTGAGTATTACTTGGATGTCTAGTGCATGGCACATTAAGGTACAATAGAAATATACAATACATCTCCTGCTTCGATTCCAAACAAATTCACCCAGCTCTATAAACAATCAATAGTCAGGAAATGGACTGTCCTAAAACAAAATGCCATTTCTTTTTTTGCAAATATAAAGCAGGCTGTTACTGAACTCAGTGCTCTGCAGTGTCAGGACAAAACTACCCTCAAGAAAACTTTCCAGAGGAGAGTGGAGAAAAATGTGTAGGAGTTGGAAGAAAAAGAAAGCAAGCGATCTATCTCCCACATCGCTTGAGGGGGAAGGATGCAGAAAAAGGTGAGCCTCAACAGTGAAGATCTCATCTGGTCAACAGCTGAGGAGCGAATGGCAACAGAGAGGAAAGGAACAGGAAAAAGGGAAGGCAGCTCAAACTGTTGTTTAAACTTTATGCACAAGAAAGGGCCCAGCTTAAACCGTCAGCAAATGCAGTAAGCGACTCAATACCTTGTGAGGAGGATGCAGGGCATTTTAGTAACATCGGGGCAAATTAATTAACCGAGTATCTAAACGCTTGGTTAATGTTCCCTGCTCTTATCAAGAGGCTAATTATCACTATCAGCCTCCTCTGTTCGTCAGTAGGATTATTAGGGTAATCGCAAAGCTTTCCTCTTTGGAGATGGGGTTTTCACTCTTCATCACAACAAAGCCGCTATTGTCTCCAGTGCCAGGGATGAACCCGATCAGTATCTGTACCTCGTAATGCTCAAATAAAGACGTGGATAACATGCTGAGTGTGTGCCATGTGTAAGTGGGTCTCTTTCAGTTGCTTTAATGCTTGACCTACACCAGTTATGTTATGCTATGCATTATCAGTCTGTGATGTTCCATCCATTCAAGGAGATATTCATTGTTAGTTATTAGGAATTCATTGCTGCAGCCCTTTTCTCCACCTGTCTCACAGCATATATTAACAGCTGCAAAAAAAAGTAATGGCTCTGCAATTTGAAATTTCCTGGTTTTCATGAAATGTGATCTGATCTTCAGCAAAAAAACAAAACAAAAAAAAAAAACAGGAAAATGCACACAGTGCCATTACCCTTTCTTGTAGCTTCGGTGTTGATACTGACTGTGAAATAAGACTCAAAGTTTTTCAATTTTGGTTGAGTGTATTCTGGTCTGCTGAGGCTGCTGTTAGTGAAAAAAAGAAAATGATATTTTGCACAATGAATTTCCCCCTGTATTACTGTTCAATGATTGAACGTCTATACTATATCTGCTTTCAGAGTATCTCAGCATGACATAATAGTTACCTAAAGGATGTTACCAGATATTTTTAGTGCTGTTAGAATGGTTTAGGATTTATTTAAAAAAAAAAAAAAAACAACAACTGAGGGACAGTTTAGGTCCACTGCTGCTCTAGTCTCACAAAGCCTTTCTACATCTCACAAAATCAGTTAAAAAAACTGTCTAAAAACATCTGATGGTGCTTGATGAGTGTTATTCAATATTTTGGGAAATGAGCTTATTTTTTTCCAGAGTTGGATGAGAAGACTGATGCCTCTCGTGTTTGTAAAGTAAATACGAAGCTGAAGCAAGTAGCCAGTTAGCTTAACTTAGCATGCAGACTAGAAACAGGGGGAAACAGCTAGCCTGGCTCTGTCAGGGCTGCTATTAAACTTGAATTAAATAAATGAAATAACATGTTAATCAGTAAGCTCTGGATTTTTATTTAAAGCCAGGTTAGTTGCTTCTGCATATTTCCAGCTTTTATGCTAAGCTAAGATAACGAGCTGTTGGCTCCAGTGTCATACTGAAAGGACAGCGGTGATAGTGGTATCTTCTCATCTCACCTTCTCCAAGAGAGTGAATTCTCCAAAATGTCAAAGTATTCCTTTAAAATCAGATGTTACAGGGGTAAAATGAAGCATGAATCAGAACCTTTTAGGTTCGTATTTTTCAGAAACTGTAAATGAAATCTAACATTTCCAGAACAAGCACAACAGTTTTTCCTGGTTCAACAACTGGAAGACAGGATTGATTGCAGCCAAGCGAGTGATGCAAGTCATCCATTCAGGTGAAGGAGAGAATTGTCAATCATTAAATCTACAACGAAGAAAATGTGAGCTGGCTTTGTGAGACTACTCCTACTCTGGTGGACTGCACAAATGAAGTATTCAGTAAAGCTTCTATACCTATGAACTATAGTGTCTGCAAATTCAAATGATGGCGATAAGACAGTCTGGATAGTTTCAAATAACCACAGGAAATTTTATTAGAGTTTAAATATTATCTGATTGTCTCAACTCTGTCTGCGTTGTCCAGTGTGGTAAACTCCACCCGCCTGGCATTCTATGGAGGTAAAAACAACTTATTTGCATATACTCTTGGTCCCAGCCCTTACACTGTCACAGTGGCATTCTTTGGCATATGAATGGAATGCAGAGCGCTCCCCCATTTTGTTTCCTGTACTGTTTCGCCTGCCAGCTAAATGAATCTATTCAATCCCTGGCATTTCCGGGGGAATGTGACTGGAATGTTATCTGCTTCCAAGTGGAATGAGTGGGCCACAGTTTTGTCATGGATGTCACAAGTGGCTTAGAATACCCTTTCTGAGTGCTTTCTCCCATAATGCAACAGGCAGATGCTGTTTAAAAAAAAAAGTAAGCTTTCCTTGAACAATGTGTCTAGACATATATGCGTGCACACGCACACACACGCACACACAGATAACGGTTTCTTCCACAGCAATGTTAAGCTGATTTGCAAAATTTAAGCCAAATTCATAGAATCTTCTCTATGCACCAGATTAATTATTCAAGGAACCTTGAAAAGATATATATTAAAAACATTCCAATTTTCCCATTGTCCTTTCAGTCTGCAGAGGTAGAAGCACATGAAGCTGTGCAAGCCGCCTTATCCACCTCTGCATTGTCACAATGCTTCAAAGGTAGGGTGGAGATGAAAGCAGGTGATATGAGCAGCCTGATAGAATCTGAAGATGGGACTCGTGATCTGTGTTCTGCTCCTTCAAAGGGACAGAGAAACACTGACAGAGAGGGAGAATGAAATGGGCGCCAGCTATTGGTTCACAGGCAGCTATCCCACAATCAAATGTACTACCCTTCACTGGCTTTCTGGTTTCCAAAGCAGCAGGCTAGCTTATAAATAAGACCTGCAATGATTGAGGGAAACCTTTCTTTGTGGGTTGGGAGATGGGTGTGCGTTTTTAAAAAGATTCCAAATCCTTGTTAAGACGTAGGACATAGTAGTGAGAAAGTCCTGGGACTGTGTTCCTCTGATAAAGAAACAAAAAAAACCACAAAAACCCCGCAGTTTTAACAACCATAGGATAGTCGGCCACAAGCCACAGGCAAGGCCATGTTTAGAATCTGTCATCTTTGAGTTGCATTGGGGACTTGAAGGGCTTCAGCCCCAGTTTCCTGCGGGGGTTAGCTTTCTCTTTGGTGCCATCCAGGGGCCTGCTGCTGGCTGCCCAGCCCAGGTCAATCAACGGCGAGTCAAAGGGCACAACGCGGAATGAGGGCAAAGTAGGCGAGCAGTTGGCAGAGCATGGGGCAGAGCGGGAGGTGGGAAAGGGAGCTGAAAATGGGTCAAATGATGAAGCTGTATCTGAGCCGCTCGGGGGGTCAGCTTTGAGGGTGAATGGGTCACAGTCCGGCGAAGGGAAGGGGTCACAGTTGGTGAACGGGTTGGTAGGAGAGGGCTGGTAGCCCAGAGGGTTGTTGTCCGAGCGGTTTGGGCTGCGGCTCCCACCTGAGTTCATGCCACCTGCTGTGTTGAAGCTCCAGGGGTCGATGCGAGGGCGGATGGGGGACGGGCGGGGCCGGGGGATGACACTGACCTCCAGGCGGCGGGTTTTTGGGCTGCAGAGAGCAGGGTTGGGGAGAAGAACATAGGGCACTGAAGGCTTGTCATCTGAGTCCTGTGTGTCTTGGCACAAGGGCAGGTCCAAAACTGGAAAGAAAAGAAAAAAAAAAATCATTAAAAGGCCACTCCAGCCCTATTCCCCTTCTAAGGCTGAGGGACTTGCAAGAGACAAACTTAAAATAGAATGAACAAAATAAAAGCAGCAGAGGCCAAGATATCCTGACTTCAGTCACTAGTATGAGCTAAGCTTATCAAACACTAGGTCCTACAATTTACATAATACAAGTCAACAGCATCTTTCAGACCCTTCCTGCCCCTTAGGGCGGTTTCATATTAGGGACCCATGCCCGGATCCGAGTACACTTGACCCAAAGTCCGGTTCATTTTAATCAGTGTGAACACAAGCATACTGGACTCCATTCCCCAAGATCCCTTGAAGAGGTGGTCTCAAGCACTATTCATGTGTACATGAGCACGGTCTGCGAGAGATGTGAATGCAACCGTGCTCAAACAAGGAAGTGGTCCACTATGTGACATCATAACTATTCAACTCCATCGGTTTAAACATCAACAAACATGGCTGCGAATTGATGGCGTAGTGAAGAAGTAAAATGCTTGCTTGAAATACGGGCCAACGAAAACATGCAAAAACTGAGCTTCATGGAACGATTTATCAGTATTTACATGCACATGGAACCGAAACAAAAGACACCCATTTGATGACCAAGTGGTTGCAGCTTCTTCTTTCTCCTACCTAGCGGATTGCAAACTAACTACGAAAACAGACCTGCCTGGTAGAAGGGAGGGGGGAGCAACCATGCTCAGGCACAGTACAAAATAATCATGCATAATGCGAAAACGCTCTTAAAATGCTTTCCTCCACAAATTGTCAGCTTTGTGTCAAACTAAAGATAACCGCCATGACATCACTAGGACATCATCAGGGTTATTTTCGTGGATTACAACGCTCCTGCTGAGTTGTACTCTCCATGACAAGTAAAGTGAATATCGTCTGTAAAAATAGTCCAGTGCCCCTTTAAACAAAAATGCTAAATCAGAGAAAGGCTCAACAATATATTCAGCTTATTAAACATCTTCATCATTGTGTCCTTCACTTCCTTGCTTGAGGGGGACTTTATTGTTAATCTGTACAGTAAATTACTCTCAAACTGCTGCTGTGTTGCCCTGGTGCTCCTCGATGCACTACTCTCCAATCTGAATTCTGCATTTGTTCTCACATATTCTGCTAGACACAAACCTGTGTGATAACAGTGATCCAAACAGAAACATGAAAGTGGCACCATACAGCTGCAAAAAGAAAGGAAGCAATCACTAACACAGAATGCTGATGCAATTAGTCTAACAATGAAATTAGTATAACATAGTGCTGTGTAACCAGTTGACAGAGCAGCAGCAGCATCAAGTATAAATTAGCACTGACAACATTAAACTCAGCTTGAATGAACATTTCCTATTTTCAAATGTGATGTGTGTGCCAAATGGCAGTATTTACATCAACAGCAACTCTCCAAGGCTACTAAGCTATTCAGCTGACAAGAAACGGCAATGAGGAGTCACACGAGGGCTAACGAAAACACCAGGGAAGGAATCTTCTGAATTCATCTCTCTCTTTTTAAGCACACACTCACCACCAGCAACCTTGTGGCAGTCTGCCTATACATCTGAGCCTGAGTCATTACAGTCAATAAACATAATAAAATGTTAAGCTAAAACACTCTCTGTTTAATTATGTGTGGTTTTTTGCCTCTGTGTGTGCAATGTAATGAGCACATTCGGTTTGTGAGCTTGTGGTAGTTAGCAGTGGAACAGGAGAGGCATGTCTGCTTGGTGCCTGGGGGGCAAAGCTGCAAGAATCTCTCTGTGGAGAATCCAAAGCTTTGTGAGTCAAGTGGACCAGATACAGCGTGTGAAATGTTACCGGGGGGCACTCTTAAAGCCCTCGTAAAGCCCACTCGCTCTTAAAACAGTCAGTACCCATGCCTCCATCATTACGGCTCTAAACTGTGAAAGAAATGCATATTAGTCTTTGGAAAGAACGTGTGAATGTACTGTAAATCAAAGTGTTGCTGAAAGGCAGATAATGCATGTTAGCATGGCACTTAACATAAATTAAAACAAAAGTTTAAATATGCTCCATGAGAGCTGAACAGTTCCTATTTTCACATGTCATTTTGGTGGGGGTAGGGGGTGAAAAATGGAGTGCTAATATAACCAAAGCAGAATGCTGAGCCCCCAAAGCATCTGAGGACGTGACAGTGATGGTGACGTCAAGAATAGATTAGCAATTTTGAATTCAGCCAATTCTGTCTGCATGACCTCAGCTGTGCCACCTGATGTTCTGCATTTACCTTCAACGTTGCAATAAAAGAAAACTCTGATTGAAAGTGGAAAGAACAACAGAAGTGGATGGTAGCTTTGCTTAGCAAGTATTACCAGTGAAGTATGAAGGGCCAACTGTTACCTGAGATATGCAAATAGCTGAAGACAAGCTTTGATGTAAATGAACAAGCTTGTGCAGCAGCCTCTCTTGTGCCAGAAAGAAAAAACGGAAAAACTGTGGCAGAACATTGTCATGCTGCAGAGCTGAGGAGGTATATTATTCAGGGTAAACGTTGGATCCACTCTCAGTGTGGTGTCTCCCAGTACATTAGTACAGATGAATAGTATAGTGTGAATTAAAAACTAAATTATGGATCCAAACTGGAGGGAGCCTGTAATTTAAAGGGGCACTCCACTGATTTAGGATTGCACCTTCATAATGCAGGTTAGGTTAATTGGCGGTAGGTGTGAACGTGAGTGTGAATGGTTGTCTGTCTCTATAGCCCCTTTTACACACAGACTGCTGCAAACTGCCTGTGTTTTTTCGCCTCTTTCAAGGCGGCTTTACTGATTTAAGCCCTTTACACTGAACTCAAAAAAAAAAGCCAGCAAACTGCTGCTCCCATGTTCATTTTACACAGCTGCTGGAATCCCAGTACTAGAGGCAGGATGCTTATCATGACATCCAACAGTCTGTGTACTTGATGACCAATTTAAAATGAAACGGGCTGTTATCTGATTTTGTTTTATATATTTATAAATGGAAATTGAGACATTGAGTAGCCTACTCTGTGCATCCAGTTTCAGGTCTCTGTGACCGTCTAAGGGCAGGGCTACACACACACACACACACACACACACACACACACACACACACACAAGGTGCACCTCACCTCAGAACAGACAAAAGCATGAGTTGTGGGCGCATTCATAAAAAATCCTTCCCTCTGGGTTTTAGAATGGAACAATCGGTAAACATTAGAAAAAAATAATTTAATTCTCTGATTAACCTTGTGCCTGCTGACACTGCTCTCTGTCCTTACTTGCTCTCTGTCCTCATTCGCTCTCTAGTTCTCTCTCATGCGGACATTTATTTATAAAGTTGGGAAATTTGCAACAGACAACTAATACATAAAAACACTTGCCAAACAAAGCACCGGAGGCTAAGGTCACACTCTCAAAGCACTAGACTTCCTACAACTTCCCATCACAAATCTTTGCTCATAGTTCTTTCAAACTCCACATCCCAAGTTAGGAACACAGTCTAACTGTTCATAGTCTCCAGGCCCAGAGTTATTTAGGTGATGTCACTTGAGTAATGCTCATGGACTTGACAAGCTCCTCAAGTCCAGAGAGAACATTAGAAATCAAGGTGGGCGATATTCCCACTGACAAGTTAACTGATTTTAATTTGTAAAATTGGAGGTGTGCGTGTTCAACCGATTCAGACTGACCTAGCTGAGAGGCGTGTAGGCCTTGGCTGGACCGCCTCCTCCTGTCAGCTGTGTGCTCCCAAGCCTCACAGCCCAGCTCCCCGTTGGTCGATTGGAAACTTGGGATCCACTCCCCTGGGCTGACCCTGCCATGCTGCCGGGGGGTTCTGGGGCTCTGCGGACTGTGCGGTGTCTGTGGAGTCCGGCGGCTACTCCGCTCACGGGGGTTTGGTGGCGGTGGTGGTGTCAGAGGCAAGGGCTTCAGTTCTTGATATTGTAGAGCTAAATCCAATAGTGGTCTGGGAAGTGGCTCAGAGGTGGAGAAAGTGATGAGATCATCCACTACTGGAGGATCTGAAATGAGGGGCTTGGGGGAGGAGATCTCCATTTCTGAGGGGGTGCGGTCCTCTAAGGAAGGGGGGTTTGTTCGAGGGGGCACCCTAGGGGGGATATCCAGACAGCGACCTAGTCCTATGGAGGCCAGGAGGGAGCCACCGCCCAGCAGGGCTCGGTGGGTGCTCTTACTCAGGCCACCTTGGGAACCCCTCTCAGGCCTGGGAGAGCCAGCTGGGGAAGAACCCCCTTCCTCACTGCCTGAGTCTCCCTGAGGTAGCGGAAGCCGCAGGCTGTCCTTCACTGAGGATCCTGTACAGGGAGAAAATGCTTTTTTAGTTTTAAAAAAGACAGAGAAGGAGAGAGAGACGTTTATTATTAATTTAGCTTCTATTTATAATTCACACTCATGACAGTATGAATTATAATGGCAGCTAATGGAAGAAGCCACTGGCGGGGTAAATTTTTTTTGATAACATTTTGCGCAGGGTTGGCGTGGAGGGCCTGTATTCCTCAAAATCGTCCTTGGACCCTCCGTTCTCATTGCTGTCTGATTCCAGGAGCTTGGCCCTCATCGACAGACTGGAAACAACAAGAAATTCAAAAATACTGAAGCATGGTGACAAACTGAGTGTAATAAAACCTTAGCAAATCTTACAAAGTCCTGCTGTACCTGCTTTCCTGGGGACTAAGGCGCAGGACTTTGGGACTTTTGGGGCTTTTTGGGCTCTGGGGTCTCCAGTGGGGCCCCAACCTCAGGTCTCCATTGGCATGTTTAAGAGAAGTGGACTCTAGGGGCCAGACCGGGCTTAGACCAAATGTCCAACTGTTGTCACTGGGACTGACTGCAGAGAAAAAGAGGAAAAAAAACAAGGTTGAAATTTAGGTGAAGCATCAGTATGCATACTGCTTTGCTGTATTCTGATGAGGGAAGCATTTTTAAAACACAGGTTTCTCCAACAATTAAGGCAAGCCTGCAATAATCTCCAACACAGTGACCTTTAACTCCTGCTACATCCAGAAGTCATTAAACTTCAATGTGCTTTCTCCACTCATATATGTGCACAGTTTAAATCCTGATTTCCCCTAAAACTACATCAGGTTCACCTCACTGGGTAGATTCAGTTGAAAGGTTAATTTACAAATGGTTCACAAAGCAGAAGATGTGAGAAGGAGGAGCCAAAGTCATCCAGGAGAACAGGAAGTGCAGCATGCTAATTAAATGTGGGATTTCACCTGCCATTCACACATTACCTGGGCTCTAACACTACCTCTCTTTCCACTGTCCTCCCCTCCAACTGGCTTGTGCTGCTAACGGAGAATGGGATTCTTGTGACAACACCTTACAACATACATACTGCATTGCACCCTTCAAAAATGCCTCATAGGAACCTTCTCAGCATAACATCTCAGGTGTCAAAAGGAGAGACAAAAGTGGAAGGTGGACACAATTATGATATACTGCAAATACCAGTGAAAACAGTTTAAAGCTGCTATTTTATTTCAGTGGGTTCTGTTGTTGCTTTCCTCCAGTGGTTCTCTTGTTCATGCCATAGCATTTCAGCCTCAGTAAATATGCTTACTGGATGGGCATGCTGTATTATTTTCTTTGGCCTCTAGTATACTGGAGGTCTGACTGAAGCACTTCACCTCCTCTGACTCTCCAACATTGTTTTCAAAGAAAGCACAGAAGTCAGGTCATAGTGTCAGGGTAGCCATTTTATCATCTGAAAATTATTTCTTGAAATGATGAATTTCTTGAATGATGATTGCAATATAAAGTTTTCTTTTGTATATTTCAGAAATTGCTCCTGTGCTCACACATTCCCAAAGCTGATATTAAATCTGCAGGGGGCCGACGTAATATTGTCCCTGTCCTTGAGGGAAAAGGCTATACAAAAGCTTAAAAAGTCTATTTATTATTAAGATGAATACCAAAGATTGTACTCATATCATTGTCATGAACGCCGTGACAGCTCTCAGTTGTGAAGCCACCACAAATCAATCGCCCCCTGGTGGCTGGCGAGAGTATAGATCATCATAATTCCCACCCCCTCCATGTTAGTGGATGGGACATGAGCCAAACTAGAGACTCAAAGTACAAATTAAAAGCTTCTCTTTCCCAGAGGTGATTCCTGTAATTTTTGGTAGCTATTATCAAGCTGAGATTTGATTGGTGGTCTGAAACACCACTCAAGTACTCCATCACTACTGCGGAGAATCTGATTGCAAAATGCCAAGATGGTAGCCACTGCATTCATAATATTTGGCTTCACTTTTGCACAGTGGAGAGAAGTGGTGATGCTTCATCCATATTTATATACGTCTCTGATTCATGTAAAAACATATGGTGGCAGATCTGTGAGTAGTCACAGCAGTGCTAACATGCTGATCTTTGCAGGTGTAATGTTTACCATGTTCACCATCATTTGCAAATTTGCACTAGGACAGCAAACAGAAATGTCATTTGTTTGGCAAGTTTCTGGACATAAACAAAAAACTGGACAAATTCAAGTTTGAACTTGATGATGGCACAAAAGAAAAGTTAAAAGGTCAAAGGCATTCATTCCAGTTCATCCTGTAAGAGAAAATCATCTCTGTAATACATTTTGTATTTATTGTTGAGACATTTCTCTGGATGAGTGAAGATTTTAACCTGAAGGTGGTGTTACAGGAAATGTCTGAGGATTATGAAAGTTATTTGAATTCATCTCTTGGGAATCAAAAAGGTTTCATCTGAATTCATGGCATTGCTATCCACTGTGTAAACATATATAGTCATGAGAAAAAGTAATGGCACTGTTTGCAATTTCCTGGTTTTCTGCATATATTGGTCGTGCAATGTGATCTGATCTTCACCAAAGTCACAAATATCAACAAACACTATTTCTAAGCTGATAAAACACAAACAGCCGTGATCTTTCATGTCTTTGTTGAACACACCCATAAGAAATATAAAGCGCCGTTACTTTTTCTTGCGACTGTACATTTTCAGATTCCTGTACGCCTGGAACTCAAAGTGGAATGAGGAATAGGACTAAGACAGAAGCACAACCACCAAAACTAATCCTGCCCCCGCAGATAGAATAAATAAATAAATAAATAAATAAATGAGGGCAGCCATATCCATAAGCTGCCAGAACATATCATACAGCCAGCCAAGTGCGATGCTAAAAATGCTACATGCAACTGTTACAATCCAGAGTTCAAAGAGTCTCTAAAAAATGTGGGATGGTTTAATTTTCTTCTTATCTAATTCAGTAGACTTTGGCACAATGAGAGAATTTATTTCTAAGGCTTTCATTCCAACAGTTTCAGCGTGCACCCCATACTAATTCTTAATTGTATTAATCCAACAAAAATCTTCTTGAATGGAGCTCTGTGGGCTAAGGCAAATCAAATTGGCAGTTCTCTAGACAAATAAGTTTGAGAGGCCACAACAATAAATCACCACATGCTACTGAGAGGGCAAGCATAAATATCCACTAAACACTTTTTAATGACAGGCGCACTCATGGCTTAGTGACTGCCATTAAGCAGAGTCATTAGGATGTAAAGAAAATCAACTCTCTATTTAATGAATAAATGAAGATGGCAGATGTTTTGGTTTACTAACCACTTTTAAAGATAAATGTTTCACTGCAATTTGTGCTTTTATGTCAAGGCCCAGTGGTAATTGTTTAGAAAAATCCATTTCATTGCTTGTTGCTACACCACAAATTTCCTTTAGGGTTTTGTTAAGACGCCCTGTGACCTACTGGCTACAATTTCTCTCCAAAGGGAAGCTATCTCGAGGTGTTTGTCTAAAAACCTGACAAGCAGAAGAGTATTGTAAATCTCTGCCGCTGCTGCAACCCTTCTCAACCCCTTCTCCTGCAGCAATGAATTCCTCCCTGCTTATTCTTAATTCAGTCAACCGCACTGTAGGCACTACATGCATATAAAACTATGGAATCTTTCTGTCTGGAAAATACAGCTCAATGGCTCCCCCCGCTTGCAGCATAGCAGTAACTGCAGACAGGTGGAGCAGAGCAGGGCTGCAGTGGAAAAAGCTGCTGAGAAGTGCTGAGCCACAGAGAGGAAGTCAGATAATATTTGGACTGGAACAGACTATTGAAAGGGGAAAAGGGTGTGTGTGAGAGCGAAAGAACAGTAAGGCGGGGGGCGGGGGTTGTCTACAGGGAAACAGGGAAAGACAAAAAAGACGAGTGGGTGGTTGAGAGCACATGAAAGGAGAGAATTTGGAAACAGAGACATAATGTTGCAATTGGGTCTGTGTATGAATACAAGGAGAGGAAAGATCTCACGGTGTTTGGTTTTCTCTGAAAACACACAAACACGCATATTACGTGCACTTCTATACCTACGTGTGTGCATGTGTATGCCCAAGGACAAAAAAATAAAATAAAAAAAAAATAAAAAAAATCACAGCACTCACGTTGGATTGCACGGAAACGAGGGCCAAAGGAGGGCGAGGAGCCTGAACCCAAATCAGGAGAGTTCCGCCTCTTCTCCAGACCTGGGGATGCCTGCACCGTAATCTTATGGATGAAATCTGAAACACGTACACACAGATGTAGGACAGATGTCAGACCACTTGGATGACAGACACCGATCAGAATACACACACAAGTTTTGGTTTCCTCACTCTACTTCACATTCATACACTCATGAGTTGTCATTTGTTTTGAAGGTTACAACACTTTTTTAGCTTCCGTGTTTCTCTAAAACAGCCAATACTACCTTCTGATGGTAGAGGAATTTCTCTGCCTGGTAATAAATGTTCCGATGAGAGATGTGAAACTTAACCCTGTAAAGAGATTTCAGTATCTTTACATTACACGGTTCATTTCTCTGTTGCATTCAATCCTCAAGTAACTACAACCAAGTAAAATGCAAGCTGTGGCTAACAACATGCTACAATCTGCTACTAGTTAACACTGCAAATATTAAGCTATCAAGCCCAGTAGGTGACAGGAGAGAAGAGAAATTCTAATCCCTCCCTCAAATTAGTGATCTATGCCCTAAAATGTCTTAATATGTACCATCAAATTTGGCTTTCAAATTACCTTTAGTATTATACCTTTGCAGTGTCCAGTATGCTTAACATCATCCATTTTATTTGGTCTTATATAATGCTTTTCTACACATTGAATTATTCAGTGATTATTTCCCATTCGCCCCCTCACACACAGAAAAGCTTCCACATTCACACACTGGTGATATCACCAGGAGCGACTTGGGATTCAGTGTCTCACTCGAGGACACTTTGATATGTGGACTGGAGAAGCCGGGGATCAAACCACAATCCTATGGTTAGGAGACACCCAGTCTACCTGCTGAGCCACAGCTGGCCCAAAATTATATCTGCTGGGGATTTAACAGACGATATAACAGTTTGTTTAACAGTAAAAGTTGCTACTAGCAGTAACTAGCATGTAGAAGTCATAGCAAGGCTACTTGCTTGCTGCTGCCAACAGAAGGTAAAACTGCTAATAAGGAGCAGCAGCAGGTATCAGGAGGGAAAATCTCCAAACATTATTACAATAAATTAGTAATTCATGCTCTCATACTATGGACCATTAGCTCAAATTAACATGCACCTAATATATCCATTTCCTTCCCTCAATGTGTAATTAATACTCTTGCCTTAACTTAATTCATTCCCTTTAATTAATGGTTATTTATTACTTGTTTACCCATATTTAGAGGATGTAAAAAAGGTCTCAGTGTTGTGTTTATCTGCAAAAACTAAGTGTACATGTACCAGTGGTGGAAGTGATAACAAAGCACAAGGTTTAACATGATGAGATAATTCAGTTGCAGAAATGATAAATTTAAGAAAAGCAGCTATTACCATAAGCTGGTACAAGCTTTTTAGCAAATGTAGGTAATAATTAACTGAGCAACTCGAGCTGCATAGTGTTTATGCTTACAGTTTTCTCCTTTATGTTTCTTATTTTTCACACCAGCCATTCTTAGTATGTTATTTACATCTACCTTTAGACAATATGCAATAAAGCATAATACATATACAAGTTACTCCACTGGATGCAAAGAGCAAGAGCGCAAGAGCAACACAGGATGAATAATATTTGTGAAATAAAGAGGGGAAAAAAGATTTGGTTAGCAGTAGAATAAAAACACTGACTAGGGAGCTGGAGATGGGGGCAGGGGTGGGGGATGAGAGAGAGGTGAGGGAAGAACAAGAGAGCGAGAGAGAAGGGCATAGAGTGAGAGCAAAAAAAAAAAAAAAAAAAAAATTGAGCAGGGCCAGCCAGCAGTGTATCCATGGACAGGAAGTGCTGAGGCGTGGTTGGCTCACTTTCCCCTCTCATCAACCCCCCCATCACCACCACATCACCGCCCTGCTGCTGCTGGGAAAGGCCTAACCACAACACACACACACACACACACATATTTGTATAGCTATCTTTGTGAGGAAATTCACTGACATTATACATTCCTTAGTTCTTTACTCCAACCTTAACCATCACAACTAAATGCCTAACCTCAACCCTTACCTTACCACTAACACAACCTAAACCTAATTCTAACCACAACTCTAAAACCAACTCGACCCTCAAGTCCCCACAGTGTTATTGGGCTCCTGGTTTGGGGTCCTCACAAGTATTTAAAAAAAAAAACAAGGCCCCCATACACACCTTGCATTTACACATGCTTGCTCAGACTGAAATACACACACACACACACACACCGAAACACAGTGCTGTGGGCTGTGACAGTTCAGGATAGATACTGTAAGAAACAGCAGCCAAAAGGCAAAATGCATGTGGGTGTAAGTGTTTGGGTCAGTGCAGATGCAAGTCAGGCCTCTGATCTATTTTTCACATGATCAGTGTTTCAGTCATGTCTGGGTCTGAATGTTATGAGGGAAGATTTTGAAGCGCTAGCACTTTTGGTAATGTCTGTGATGAAAGGGTTTAAAGCTATTCTATGACTGCAGAAAATATCACCAATGTGCAGCCTCTATTTTAAAATAATCAGCCTTTGGGCACCTACATGAGCTCCCTGACAGAAACCTTCAGCAAAGCCCAGCTACACCATTAAAATAAGTACACCACAAACTCTCCCCCTCACCCCCTCACTTCCTCTTTGCTCTCTTGTTTTTTTTTTTGACTCCTGTTGTTGTTGTTTTTGTTTCTTCTTGAGACTGAGCCAGTAATGACCCTTGAAATGGGATTTCACGTTAAAACTGCTGGCTGACACAATCCAGTTAAAAGTAAATTTTTGACAAAATAACTCAAAGACAGTTCAAGCGCACATGCACACACACGCACGCACACACACACACCTTGGGGCATGCTGATCTTCTCGCCATTCTTGGACTTGAGTTTGTGCTTCTTGAAGGTGCCCTTCCTCTTCTTGACGTTGGGTTTCTCCTGGTTCTGGTTCTGGTTCAGGTGGAGGATGAGGAGGCTGAGTTCACGCTCGAACACGTCCTGCTCCCACTGAGCCAGCTGCTGCTCGCGCTGCCGCAGGAACTCTTCGTGGGACTTCTGCTCCAGAGCTGCTCGCTTCAGCTCCTCCTCACGGCATCGTAGCTCCTGATGGAGGAGATGATGAAAGAGGTGAGGAGGTGTGACCGCGTGTGACTGAGGTGGTGCAGGTTTACAGGTTTATCTCCTCCGGGGTGACAGTGTGAAGTGATGCCAAAGAGGCTGGTTGCAGATAACCTTTGAGCAGTAGTACTGGCTAAGATGACTCACAACTTAGGTTATACATTTTATTTGATCTCCAACAGGTGAGTGTTTGATCTCAAGGTGTTGGCACAGCTAAAAAGGTTGCAGTATGTGACTTTGTTCTGTACAGATCTTTTATTAAATACTCTACAAAGTCGAAAGTAATATTAACATTCAAAACTACAATTACTGTTTCTTTGATGAGCTGCGTTTGTATATAAATTAACTTCTCTTCTGTTTCACATGTGCAATAACATATAGGTTTATGTATGAATTGAAATATCTCTATATGCATTTCAAATCACTTTAAAAGTACAATATATTTACGCTACCTCTCTGGGGATAAAATTGGAGCTTCTGTATGGGAGTCACTTTTGTATCGCAGTAATTCATCTGTTGGTTATTTACCTTTATTTATTCATGGTATGTCCATTGAGAGGCCACCTCTCTTTTTCACGGACGCCCGGTTCAACCTCACACCTGGAAACTGCCCAGTGCAACCACAGACTGACCTGTGGCCAGTGAGCAGCTCCACTGGAGCGGTTGGGGTTAAGGACTTGCTCAAGGGCACCACAGAGGTGTTAATAATGCTGCATTGTCTCCTGTTGCACCTGGATTTAATGCTGCCGGTCTGGGGATTGAACCAGCGACCTTCTGGTCACAAGCTTGCTTCTCTAACTTCTGTGTAATTGTTTTTCTTTAATTGAACAGATAACTAATCACAGAGCAGACAAAGAGCTCAATATGCATTTCTGTAACAAGCCTGTAACAAGCCAACATTTAACATCGAATGGTTTAACTAACACCGACATGAGGGGTTGTTTAGCATTTCTCTACAATACACGAAGGTCCAGAAATTCAAGAACAAATGAGAGAACAGAATAGATGAATGAATGGTTGGGTAAAAAAAGACATACAAAATGGTTATGTTGCTTAACTGACTGCATCTTACTTTCTCTTTAGCCCGGATTTCATCGAACATGTCCTGGATCTCCACCTTCCAGTCCTCCTGCAGGGAGTGAAACGAGTCCTGTGGCATCTCTTCCTTCACTTGCTGCTCCAGGGCCGTCAGCTGGGTCAGGATGGAGCTGAAATTGGGTCTGCGGTGGGGATCCTGGTCCCAGCACTCTGTCGCGCATAGAGCAGACACAGTCAGTCCCCAGGATCCATGCTATAGCATTTCAGTTGCAGACTTGCACTCGTGCAGTTACCACTTGCACATCTGCAATCTCTTACACGGAGATGTCCTGACACTGACACAAAAACGTTAGAAACAAGGAAGCGGTGGGGCCAAAGCAGAGCAAAATAGGTATTAAATTTCATGCTGGAAAAATTCAACCTGCTGTGTGGTTAAATTAAAATTGGGTTATTTTGTTCGGGACTGAGCTGTAAAATCTTGATTCCTCAAAACAAGAAGAAAAATGTGTCAACAATGCAGGCAAATTAACTTCTTTCCAGTGCAGTTTCACTTCCTTTAATGCCCTTCTTGAATCAAGGGATCAGAAAAAAGGAAGTCACTAAGTGATTCACCGTAATCCTCACATAAACTGATCTGCACTGAAATAAGCTAATTTTAATCACCCTACTGAAATTTTTCATTGAATTTTAAGACATAAAATTTGGGTAGATGACTTACTGAGAGGGATGTCTGTGCGCTCATTACGCTTCATATTGAATGAGTATCCTGCAATGCCTGTAATTTTTATTTACACATATTTAAGGCACTTATGTGAGCACAATCTAGAGTCAAGCTGATCACTTAGTCAAAATGTTATGATTAACATGCTGTGGTGGCATTTTTGGATAATTTGCTGGAACACTTGGGGCATTACAAGCTGATCAAAAACCAATTTGATAATCAATTAAACCTCTCATCAATTAAACTGGTGGTTTTGTGCACTGATCTCTCTCTCTCTCTTTTTTTTTTAAGTACAACTGTAAAAGATAAGCTGACATCAAAAGTAGGAGCTAAGTGGAAGGAATGTAAACTGATTGTGTGGCAAATGTGTCAGGAACAAAGCAGATAACAAGCCAGAAGCATGTTAGAAAGTACCCAGGTGACCTTTCTTTTTCCGTTTTACTTGAAACTGAGCTAAGGGAAAAAATAAATGGGTACAAATATATTGCACAAGGTGGCTCCGGCACAAAATACTTCCTCTCCACGGGCACTCTATTAACATACAGGAATTTGTTTTCTCATTTTCAATCCAGTTTTGGGGAAATGGAAAGCGAGTGTGCCGGGGATGCCAACGTGATCTAACGGAAAAGCACTCTCACATATCACTGGGCTGAATGCCGCTGCCTTAACAGTGCTACGAGTGCATTCAATTACATTTCTACACATAGAAACACTAGAAACACACGTCCCACCTGCCATGAGCTGAGCGAAGGGCTCGGGGCAAGTGGAAGGGATGGGCAGGGTAAGTTTGTTGACAGCGACTCCGTAGGCGACAGCAAGTCCATCAATTCCTTTGTAGGGTGCCTCTCCAGTTAGCAGCTCCCACAGCAGAACACCATAGCTGGAGAGGAAAAACAAACAACAGGGGCATAAGACAGTACAGTCAGACCAAAATTAGGCAGGATATAATATAAATCCTGGAACACACACATTATACTGTATTTTTAAAGCACATACAATATGTAGTGTGTATATATATATATATATAAACAAAGCTCAGCATTGACATAGTATTCCATTGAAAAGTTAAGCAGACAGAGCAATGCTAGATTTCAACAGTTCAAGTCATGTGTCTGGCTAGCTGATGACTGAGTTCAATGTGCATTTGCTTTGGGCTCTGTTTGGTCTCCACCCTCTTATGAGGGGAATAATTTATCTCTTTGGCTGCTAGATGTGCCACTGTGTTCAGCTCAGGCAGGTAGGGAACAGTGGGCTCATCTAAGCTTTTTCAATTAAAACTTTCAGGTAAAAGGGAAGTGAGACTGAACCAAAGTTCCAGGTTGTTGAACCAAAACAATAAGCTGAAAGAGGATAAAAGATTTCATAAAGCTAAGATGAACTCAGAGATTATTAACTTAACAAGATTCTCTGTAAGTGACCCCTTTCACATTTGATACGCAGTTGATATAAAAAAAATTGATTGGTGCGTTATGGGTGGTTTAAATATGCATTTGGAGTTTTAAAAAAAAATTTTACACAGTAAATTGGTAAGGTGACAATCCAATCAAAGTATCTTTCCTAACATGAGTTGCACCTATTTACTGATTATTTAAATATTATTAACTACCAGTCACAAATGTTCAAACACTTTCCTGCCGAATAGAAGAGGAAAGTGTGTCCAAATGTCTGACAGGTAGTGTAGATGTTTGTGCTTTTTAATTCTTGTTGCTTTTGTACATAATACCTGATGCATTCATTAGCGTAGCACTGACAGTACAGAACCAAGACACATTTGTGCAATGGAATATATTATGCTTGATGAGATGTGCTTACAAAGCAAAGTGAACTCATGCATGCAGAACTTGTACATGCACAAATACACCAACACACACAGACACAGGGCTTTTGAGCCCACACAATGGGAGCTGCCCTGTGTCCTAAGAAGAGGACTTGGATCTCCCACACTGTCAATTAGCCCTCGCCCAGGCCTTACTGAACCTGCTGTGGAGGCTTGCTAAGTGGAGAGCTCAGGCCGCAGCCTTTTTTTTATTTCGTTCTTTAATTTCATTGGCAAAGTGTGTCAAAAATAGAGAGAGAGAGAAATAGATATATATGACTCAGCAAACAGCCACTTCCTTTTCATAGAAATTCCGAAGGCACAAGAGGCTTTTCATAGCTCAGCTTCATACCTTAAGTACCTTGCAAGCACACCTGTGCACATAATGAAAATCCTGGATTTGGTTCAGCCGAATCCAACTGTAAATTACACAGCTGCTAAATATCACTGAGCTTTAGAAACTGCCACACCCACACATAAACACACACGACCGCTCACCTCCAGACGTCGCTGCCCTTGGAGAAGGTAGAGGACTTGATGACCTCAGGGGCCATCCAGGCGTAGGTGCCAGCGGTGCTCATCTTGGTGGTCTTGTGCCACTCTCTGGCCAGGCCGAAATCCGTGATCTTCAGTGTCAAACCCTCCATACATTCATTCTCTATGGGCTGAGCTAAAAGGACTGGAGGAAAGGGAAGAAGTAGAAAGACAGGTAAGACTTGGCAAGGTTTTAAGAGTTTGTCAAATTAAGTGACTAGCATGGAATGACCAGCAAGCCAATGTCCAGAAAACATGACATATTTCTTTACAGCACAGTGATATTCCTTCCTGTATCTTATCTCACCTGCTGACTACCATTATGCGGCTTGGCGATCTACATATAGTAGGTCTGTAAAAATGGATGTAAATATAAAAAATCCAAAATGAGAAAAGTACACGGTGTAAAATAGAACAACTTATAACACAGAACATGCTTGTCCTTTAGTGAAATATCAAAAATGATACACTATTGGTTGGTTGACTCAGACTTGTGATATTTTCACATGAAAATCTTACAATTCCTACTTTGGTAATAGGTAGATTATTTACATTTGCACTCACTCATATGTTTAGAGTCTATTCGCCAGGCAAATTGCAAAGAAGGAGTGAGGGAAAATGTTGTATGACATATCACACTGATGTAAGAGTAAAGAAATACTTTCGACATGTTTTTAAACTGCCTTTCATAAAGAAAAAGTCAGAACTTCATTTAACAGCTAGCACACTGCAGTAGAATTATAAGACCTCATTGATCTGTGGGGAAAAATTCACAAGCTACTCAGCAGTAAATCAAATGACATGCATATAAGCCAGTTAAAACTAGCTCTCCCTTTATCAGCTGCAACATTAAATGTGACTTACACAATAATGCAACCATAATTATAATACAATAATATAATGTATAGAAATGTGAAATGGGCCTTTCTGCACAATGAGTACTTTTAGTACTTTATGTTTTGATGCTAACAGTTTTGTACTTTTACTTAAGTAACATTTTGAATGCAGAACTTTTACTTGTAACAAATATTTTTACACTGTTGTATTGCTACTTTTACTTAAGCAAAGAATCTGAGCACTTCTGATAAGTGCTTCCATCTTGACGTAAACATAATGCCAAAGTTAGCACCTTACCAGGCTGAAGTATATACGTAAGTGGCCTACTACTGACTGTCTAAAGTGTCAATGTACACTATCTATTTGAGGATACACAACAGAGCAGTTTTAATTTTTCAGTCACATTTAAGGCCTGGTTTAAACCTTGATCTAGACTGCTTTTGGCTTACAAATTTCCAAACCCATGCTTACTGGGACTTTATGAAACCCTCCATCTACTGAAAATGGTATAACAATAATCAGAGCCTGGATTCAGTAATAAGCAAAATGAGTAAGTGGATTTGCATAGGACTAATGATTTCTGGTCTACATATAGTAGGTCTGTAAAAATGGATGTAAATATAAAAAAATCCAAAATGAGAAAAGTACACGGTGTAAAATAGAACAACTTATAAGCAAACACATTCTGTCACCCAGCCAGTGATATGCAGCTACGCAGCAATGGAACACTCGTGGGGCAAGTTTCTGTGAAAAAGGAATATAATGTTCTAAGATGATAATGATGATGATCTGCAGCCGTGCCACTTTTCTCCTTTGCTGGCAGGCTGGCCAGGCCAAGGCTGGCAGTCAAATGCAGGGAGGAGAAGCAGCAAAGAATTTGACTTATTATAGGGAAGTAAGACTCCTGCTATTTGCAGTTACTTTCCGACTTTCTGTGCTTTTCCTTTTTTCTTCTTTCAACTGAGTCTTTAGCTTAAAATCTGTTCTCACCAGTCCCCCTTTACTTTCAACATACAAATATGAAATTTATCTTTCTCT